TGAGATCTGGTACCCTCTTCTGGCATGTGGGCATACATGGAGGCAGAATGTTGTATATATAATAAATAAATAAATCTTTAAAAAAAAAAAGAGTTGTTCTAGAAGCTGGGCGGTGGTGGCGCCTTTAATCCCAGCACTGTGAGTTCAAGGCCAGCCTGGTCTAAGCTAGCTCCAGGACAGGCTCCAAAGCTACAGAGAAACCCTGTTTCAAAAAACCAAAAAAAATAAATAAATAAAATAAAATTAAATAAATAAATAAATAAATAAAAGGAAAAAAAGAGTTGTTCTAGAGTGGCTGGAAAGATGACTTAGAGGTTAAGAGCACTGATTGCTCTTCCAGAGGTCCCGCGTTCAATTCCCAGTAATTACATCGTGGCTCACAACCATCTGTAAGGAGATCTGGTGTCTTCTTCTGGTGTGCAGGCCTCTAATCAGGCAGAACATTACATACATACAAATAATTAAATAAATAAATCTTTTATTTATTTATTTTGTTTCTTGTTTTTTTCAAGATAGGGTTTCTCTGTGCAGCTTTGGAGCCTGTCCTGAAACTCGCTCTGCAGCCTTGAATTCACAGTGCTGCCTCTGCCTCCCTGCTGGGATTAAAGGCGTGCGCCACCACCGCCCTGCTAGGATTAAGTTTTATTATGGCTAAGACCATGTTTGTTGCTAGGAGTAGGGTTTGTGCTCGCCTAGGTTTAGGTTAAGTGTTATAGTTTAGCTAGGATTATATGTAGTCTAAGATTATTTTAGGCTGGGTTTAAAGTTGCTGTTACACTTGGGCTTTTAATTAGGCCTTCTGTTAATGTTATTGCTGTGGTTTGGTTTAGTGTTTATGGCTAGGGATGGGGTTAGCAATTTGGCTATGGTAAGTATAAGGGATGTGATTAGATTTAGGGTTAAGTTTGGACATAGGGTTAGGATTAGTATTGAGGCAAGACTTAGTTTTAGGGCTAGGTTAAGTTTTGGGTTTTGGTTAGGTTTAGGACTAGGTCTGATTCTGGCAGGACAAAGGTTAATGTTATCAATGGGACTGGCGTTAGAGTTAGAGCTAGTTTTATTATTTGGTTTAGGGCTAGACTATTTTATGTTTAGGGTTGAGACAATGGTTACGGTTTAAGGTGAGCCCTAAAGTGTGTATTAAGTGTAGTGTTAGTTTGAGTGTTAGGTTTAGGCTAAGGTTTGGCTTATGGTTATTGTTTTTTTCTTTTTTTTTGGTTTTTTCTAGACAGGGTTTCTCTGTGGTTTTGGAGCCTGTCCTGGAACTAGCGCTGTAGACCAGGCTGGTCTCGAACTCACAGAGATCCACCTGCCTCTGCCTCCCGAGTGCTGGGATTAAAGACGTGCGCCACCACCGCCCGGCGGTTATTGTTATTTTTAAGGACAGTGTTAGGGTTATGGATAGGTTTAGGGTTAAGATGAGTTTAGGTCTAGGTTAAGGGTCAGGGATAAAGTTAGGTCAGGAGCTGAGATTAGGCCTAGGGTAGGTGATCTTGGCTATGATTAGGGTAGGATTAGAATTATGGCAAGGAAAGGTTTAGAGTGATGGCTAGGGTTATGACTACAGTGTGTTTACCATTAGAGTTAAGGCTGAAGTTTGATTTTGATCTTTGGCAAGGGTTAGGGTTAGTTAATAATTCTGTTAGTGCTGTGGTTAGGCCCACTGTTAGGGTTTGTGCAGGGTTAGGCCTATGCTTGTGGGATCATCACTGATCATTGTTAGTGTTCTAGGATTAGGTAAGGGCTTTTTTGCTTTTGCTTGTTTGTTTTTTCAAGACAGGGTTTCTCTGTGTAGCCCTGCTGTCCCAGGACTCACTCTGAAGACCAGACTGGCCTCGGACTCAGAGATTTGCCTGCCTCTGACTCCTGAATGCTGGGACTAATGGGCTGGTGCCAGTGCCTTAAAGGTTAGGACAATTGTTAATGTTAGGTTTAAGGCTTAAGGTAGGCTCAGGTTGGAGGGCTGGGACTAGTGTTAGTGGTATGTCAAGGGTTAGGTCTATACTTAACACTAGTTTTAGGTTCAGAACTAGGTTTAATTTTTGGTTTGGGGCTAGAGTTATGGTTAGGACTAGGGTTTAAAGTTAGGACTTGGTTTATGTTTTGATAAGAGCAAGGTTTAGGCTAGGTCTAGGTTAAGTTTTAGAATATGAGTTATATTTTTCTTTTTTTTAAGATTTATTTATTTATTTATTTATGCAGTTCCTGCATGTAGGCCAGAAGAGGGCACCAGATCTCATTAGGTGGCTGTGAGTCACCACCAGGTTGCTGGGAACTGAACTCCCGACCTCTGGAAGAGTAGTCAGTGCTCTTAACCTTTGAACCATGTCTCCAGCCCAAGTTATATTTTTCTTATCTTTTTGTTTAGGGTTGTGGTTTGTTTTAATGTCAGATTTTAGGTTTAGGGCTAGAATTAGGTATATAATTATGTTTAGAGAAGTTTAGGATTATGCTTATGTTTAAAGTTAGAGTTCAAGTATATGGTTAGTGTTAGGGTAGCAAAATGTTTGGGACTTGGGTTAGAGCTAGGTTCTAGTTTGGGTGAGGGATATGACCACGATTAAGGTTAGGATTGGAGCTACTCTCAGGACAAGTGTTATTGCTAGACTTGGGCTCGCTTTAAGTTTTTGACTGCCTTTTGAATTGGTCTAAATTATCATTAGAGCTGTGTTTAATATTTGAATTAGAGGTCAGGTTAGGGTTATGACTGGCTTGTGATTTTACAGTATTAGTGTTAGTGTTTGGGCTAGGAGCAGACCCAGCTCTACGTCCTTTTTTATGGCTATGACTAGGACTAATGGTATGGTTAAGGTTACATTTAGGAATTGGGTTAGGTCTAAGATTATGTTTTGTTTTGGGTCAGTTAGGATTAGGATGTGGCGAGTGTTAGGTAGACCTATGGTTAGGCTTAGGCTTATTGTTCCTTTAGCATTAGGGTTTGGGTGATGGTGTAAGGGGGGGGGGAGGGGATAAGTTTTAACGTTACATCCAGGGTTAGGCTTAGGGTTAGTTCTAGGGTTAGAATTAGTTGAGGCTAAGGTTAAATTAGTTAGTTCTAGAGTTGGGCATATGTTTAGGGATTCGTGCTTGTTTAGAGATATGTTATGAATGTTAGCTTTCAGTTAAGGATCTGTGCTGGGGTTAGAACTATGGTTAAATTTAAGGTTAGGTTTTGATACGGGTGTGCTCTAGGGATAGATAAATGGTTATGGCTAAAGTTACTTTAGAGTAAATACTGGAGTCAGATTGAGGGCTAGGGTTAGAAAGGGTGTAGGAATGAAGTGAAACTGTTTCCATATAAGACCTCTTAGGGCCGGGCGGTGGTGGTGCACACCTTTAATCCGAACACTTGGGAAGCAGAGGCAGGCGGATCTCTGTGAGTTTGTATGTGTATGTCTGTATGGTACATGAGTGTGGTACATGTATGATGTGTATGTCTGTATGGTACATGTGTGTGGTACATGGATGATTTGCATGTCTGTATGGTACATGTATGATGTGTATGTCTGTATGGTACATGTGTGTGGCACATGTATGATGTGTATGTCTGTATGGTACATGTATGATGTATATGCCTGTATGGCACATGTGTGTGGTACATGTATGATGTGTATGTCTGCATGGTACATGTGTGGTACATTTATGATGTGTGTCTGTATGGTACATGTGTGCGGTACATGTATGATGTATATGTCTGTATGGTATATGTGTGTGGTACATGGATGATTTGTATGTGTGTGTCTGTATGGTATATGTGTGTGGTACATGTATGATGTGTATGTGTATGTCTGTATGGTACTTGTGTGTGGTACATGGATGATTTGTATGTGTGTGTCTGTATGGTATATGTGTGTGGTACATGGATGATTTGTATGTGTGTGTCTGTATGGTATATGTGTGTGGTACATGGATGAGTATCCAAGTGTATGACTGTAAATGCACATGGGGAGGCCAGAGTGACTGTCCAAGCCAAACAATCAGTCCAATTGGGCTGACTGATGTTACACACACACACACACACACACACACACACACACTCAAGTACTCATGCATACAAGACTCTTTCACCTGAGTTTCTGCTTAGGTGAACCCAACAATGCTGCAGGTGGCCTGGTGGGGGGGCTAGAGTTTGTGTGTGTATGTATGTATGTATGTATGTATGGTCTATATGCATGCCAGAAGACTAGAGCAGAGGCTCAACCTATGTAGCTACAGGCAGAAGCCCTTAACCCGGTTGGGTAAGGCTTCCCGGTTGTTGGAGAAATGCCCATAACCCTAGGAAACCCCAATAAATGACTTGGTTCTGCAGAGTGAAGTTATAGCTATCAAGCAGAGGGTAGGAAACCCACTGGTGACCTTTCCCTACTCTGTTTCACAAATACTCTCTCTGTAATAGTTTGAGCTCCTCCTTGACCACCTGGCGGCTTGTGCTATGATGGCAGAGCTCAGCAGTTACAACAGAACCCTAGAGTCCATTAAGCCAAAGTTACAGATCATGGGTGAGCCTGAAGCAGGGCATAGGAAAGTCAGCACCTAACATGGATGATGACTCCCTCATTGCTTCCTTCCAGCATGCAACTGGTTGGGAGGAATAGCTGGATACTAGGGGATGTCAATAGCTAACAACCTGAGCTGTGGTGACCTTCTCCAAGCAAGCACAGTTGAACCCTTGAAGGTGGGTCAGAGGATAGACCGTAGAGAGCTATCAGGTGGGCCTCCTCTTCACCACTGGCCTAGGTTGGGTGCATGCTGTATCACACACCTGATGAGTAATTGAGCACCCACGCTCTGACAGGTACTATGCACTTTGCCAGCCATTAGTATCTGAGCCATACACTGAATTGAAATGATAAAAAATGGCTAAACTCTATCTATTCACATTGCCTTTTTCCCCTCACTTTCTGTAGTGATGGGGACAAAATCCAGGGCTTTCCATATGCTAGACAAGTGATCTACCCTGAGCTATGCCACAGACCCCATGCCTATTTCCAATTAGCAGAAGCCAGAAAAGAAATACAGAAAGTTTAACTTTTATAACTTTAAATTAGCAGCTATAAGGGATTCTTGCTCAACTGGATCTTTTCTTCAATGTTTGAAAAGTATTTCATCTTTGTTAGAATTTCCTTGGCTTTTTCAAAATCACCTGAAATAAACAAGAGACAATGATATCAGGCAACAATAAAAACAACTCTGGCATTTCAGGCAGCCAGGCCAAAGGGTCCAAAGGTTGATAGCTTCACCTGAGGGTGAGTGCACCCTATAGCAACATTTGCCAAAGCCTAGGGATATTTTTGTCTGCCATAACCAGGGAAATAGAAGTGAGACCTACTCGGTAAAAGCCAGAGACTCTGTGAAAGATTTTAGCCTCCCCCAGCAAAAATATTATTTCACTCAGAAATGTCAGTAAGGTTGAGAAATCCCAATTTAGACAAATGCAACACAGTATAATGTGCCCTAAATGAAGATCTTTTGTAGTCAACCCTGGGAATAGTAAATATTAAAAACAATAATAAATTAATCATTAAAAAATAACAGGGCTGGGGAGATGGTGATCCCTTCAGCATGAAGGCATTTGCTGTCCACTGAAGCCAGCTGACAGCCTTGGAGAACATAATTAATTAAAAAAATGATAAACTAGTGTATAGAAAATATGGAAGATTGTTGTGGAATATTATTTAAAGATGTCTTACATTCATTTATGCTGTGGAATGTTTGTTTAATGATGCAAAGATGAGTTGCATTCCTTCATGTTGCATTTGTTTAACTCTGAGAAGCTGTGTTACTTTGCCTGCCTAAAACACCTGATGGAACGGCCAATAGAAAGACAGGAAAAAAAATAGGTGGGACTGGCAGGAAAAGAATAAATAGGAGGAATCTGGGAAGAGGAGATCAAGGAAAAAGAAAGAGGAGAAGAAGAGGACTGCAGGGGCCAGCTATCCAGCTACATAGCAAGCCACAGAGTAAGAAGTACAGAAGGGTTTATAGAAAGATAATAGCCCAGAGGCAAAAAATAAGTGGGATAATTTAGGTTAAGAAAGGCTGGCTGAGGCCGGGCGGTGGTGGCGCATGCCTTTAATCCCAGCACTCGGGAGGCAGAGGCAGGCAGATCTCTGTGAGTTCGAGGCCAGCCTGGTCTACAAGAGCTAGTTCCAGGACAGGAACCAAAAGCTACGGAGAAACTCTGTCTCGAAAAATCAAAAAAAAAAAAAAGAAAGGCTGGCTGGAAACAAGCTAAGCTAAGGCCAGCCATTCATTCATAAGTAAGAAAAACTTACTGTGTGTGATTATTTGGGAGCCAGGTGACGGATCCCCCAAAGAGTCTAAAGAGTTCAAAACAAAACAAAATAAAAACCAGAAAACAAAGGATCTACCAGTAAGTTTGCTTAGAATAGTGGTTCTCAGCCTGTGGGTCGTGATCCCTTTAAGAGCCTAATGACCCTTTCACAAGGGTCATCTAAGATTAACAGAAGTATCAGTTATTTACATTATGATTCATTAACAGTAGCAAACTTACAGATATGAAGTAGCAATGAAAATAATGGTCAGATGGCAGCGGTGCATACTTATAATCCCAGCACTAGAGAGGAAGAGGCAGGTAGATCTCTGAGAGTTTGAGGCCAGTCTGGTCTACAGAGCAAGTTCCAGGACAGTCAAAGTTACACAGAGAAACCCTGTCTAGAAAAACCAGCAACCGGGGCTGAAGAGATGGCTCAGCTGCTCTTCCAGAGGACCTGAATTCAATTCCCAGTAACCACATGGTAGCTCAAAATCTTCTGTAATGAGATCTGGTGCCCTCTTCTGGCCTGTAAACATTCATGCATGCAAAACACTATATAAAATAAATAAAATCGAAAAAAAGAAAAAGAAAAACCAGCAACCAAAACAACAACAAAAGAATAAAAAAAAAAAAAGAAAAGAAAAAAAAAACTTACGGACAGAGTAACAACCACACGAGGAACTGTATTAAAGGGCTGTGGCACTAGGAAGGGTGAGAACCACTGGCTCAGAGGATAGTAAGTTACACAGAAGCAAACTGTAGGTGATCTCTCATATCAGACCATTGTTAGGGCCCCATCAAGCCAAATGTGGGCGTATATGCCTTTAATCCGAGCACTCAGGAGGAAGAGGCAGGCAGTATGAGTTGAGGCCAGCTTGGTTTACTTAGAGAGTTCCAAGTCAGCCAGGGTTATCGAGAGAGATATTGTCTCAAAAACAAACAAACAAACGGGGCTGGTGAGATGTTTAGAGCACTCACTGATCTGGGTTTAATTCCCAGCACCAATGTGGCAGCTAACAACTGTCTTAACTCCAAGATAATGACACGCTCACACAGACATACATGCAGGCAAAACACCAATACACATAAGATAAAAATAAAACAAAGGTAAAAAAATCCTAAACCCCTATGTGCATGCCAGCCCAAAGTTTTGGATTTCCCCTTCTCTGTAATCTCTTGTTGCTTCCAAATCACTCTCTTCCTCATTGCTACCCAAGGTTTCTATTTTGTAAAAGATATGAATTTATTAGAAATGTGCAGTTACTGAACATGTGTTGAAGGAAGGGGATTCTCTAACCCTGAGAGAAAGCCTCGATGTTTATATCTTATAAACATTGTTTTACATTTAATAAAGTGAAAGGGTTAGAGAGATGGGTCAGTGGTTAATAGCACTTTGTTATTCTTGCAGAGGACCTAGATTCAATTCCTAGTACCCGGGAACCCAAAGCACCAGGCACACACGTGGCACACATACACAGGCAAAACACTTGCACACATAAATAATATATTTAAAAAAAATTATTTATTATGTATACAATGCTCTATCTGCATGTTTGCCTGCAGACCAGAAGAGGGCATTAGATCTCATTACAGATGGTTGTGAGCCACCTTGAGGTTGCTGTGAATTGAACTCAGGACCTCTGGAAGAACAGTTTATGCTCTTAACCTCTGAGTCATTTCTCCAGCCAAATAAGAAAGAAAATTAAGTGAAGAAAAAAAAATTAATAAGTCAAGCTTAAAAGGCCCAGTGAGACAGCCAAGTGGGGGTAAAGGCTCTTGTTGATGAACCCGACAGCTTGAGTCTAATCCCAGAGACCACATGGCAGAAGAGAAGTGGCTCTTGAAAGGCATCCGCTGATCTTTTCATGCATGACACCGACACAAGCACACACACGCACATTACGGAAATGTAATAGGAAATTTTAAAAAGCAATGAAATACCTTGTTCAAAAGCTCTGTTTACATTGTCAGTAAATTCTTTCTGTTTAGCTGAAAGAGAAAATAATTATTTTAATTTTTCCATTTAAATAAATTTACAGTCAAGCCAGGTGGTGGTGGGGAGCGCCTGTAATCCCAGCACTCAGGAGGCAGAGGCAGGTGAATCTCTCTAAGTTTGAGGCCAGTCTGGCCTACAAAGCAAGTTCCTGGACAGTCAGAGCCACACAGAGAAACCCTGTCTTGAAAAGCCCCACCCCCTAAAAAAAATAAAGGAAAAAAGTAGACTTACAACATGAAGGCAACACTTTGTGACCATGCTGCTCTATACACAAGGACTGGGGTTCAAGGCTTTACAGCCTTTGTGTTCTTGTGGTGCTGAGGATTGTACTAAGGCCTTATATATGCTATGCAAAGTCTGTACTTTGTACACTACACTCTGTACTTGCATTTTTTTTTTTTAAAAAGATTCATTTATTATGTATACAACATTCTGCCTCCATGTAGGCCTGTAAGCCAGAAGAGGGCACCAGAGCTCATTACAGATGGTTGTGAGCCACCATGTGGTGGCTGGGAATTGAATTCAGGACCTCTGGAAGAGCAGCCAGCTCTGCTCTTAAGTTCTGAGTCATCTCTCCAGCCTGTCCTGGCATTCTTTTGACACAGGGCTTCATTGTGTTGGCCAGGCTAGCCTTAACTCACTATTTTTCTGCATCTTCCTCTTGACTGCTGAGATTATAAGTATTTGCTATCATTGTATTGCCTTGCAGTTCTTGTTAAATGCAGTACTGACAGGCCCTATAAACATTCTATTTTTCAGCCAAGGAAGGTCTGGAGGCAAACACCAAGGCTTCTAAAGTGGCTATGGAATCACATAAGAAAAAAAAAGAATGACAGGCGAGATTATCATAGTTTGTATGTCCCTCAGATGGTCTGGGTGTTAAAGGCTTGGCTCATGATTAGTTTTGCTAATAAAAGGAAGAGAACACTTCAGGAGGCAGGGCCTAGTGGAAGGACGTTAGGACATTATAGACATGTCCTGGAAAGGGATCCTGGGACCCAGGCTCTGTTATTTCTCACTTTGCCTCCTCCACTCTGCATTCTTGCCACAGTCCCAGGAGCAACTGGGCCAACCCACCATGGACTAAACCTCTGAAACTGAGTCAGAAGAAAGCTTTTCTTTTCATATCAGGGATTGTCTCACAGTAATGGAAAAATAAGCAACACAGAAATCAGGGATAGGCTGTGACTATCTCTACCTCAGTCTTCCATACTTTAATACCCTACCATCATGACATTGCCATTCATTACCACATGTTTTAGGCAATCACCTGCAAATTATATAGCCATCCAGGAAAATGATACTATTTCCATTACATTCTATCTTAGAAGACTACCAATGCAAAGAGCAGGCACAGCAACCTCATTCCTACTGTTGCTCATTAGAAAATGAGGGATTTTTACAGGGATGCCTTCTGGATGTAACTATATTTATTTAGAATCTTTAAAAACATTTCAAATACATTGTATCTCTAAGGTAGGCAATGGCAGGTATGGAATTCTCCCTTGGGCACATGGCCAGTGAGTGCAAGGGCTGGGGACTGAATCCCAGAAGAAAAATTTAGGAACTGATCTAAAAAAGGACAGTAAGTCATCCAGACAAAGCTGCTAGAAGTGTTTCACATGCTCTGCCTGTGTCTCACTAACTTAATTAACCCTTGGGGTACTGACCTAACACTCTCCAGTTATAGATGAAGAACTGAGGCTCAGACATCCTCAGAAGCCACTGTTTAAGAACACACAGAAAATCAACAGCAGTGTTGGGCCTGATCCTCACTCTGGAGCTTTAGGTGATACCCAGATGCCTGAAAATTCTGCAGGAGGGTAGCTGACTTCTGCCTTGACGCTCAGCACTTGTATTCACTGTTGTGACATATTTAACAGCATTAGCTGAGTCCCTGTCATGCTTCAGGCACTTTTCTGAGAGGGAAGCCAAGAAGAGGAGACACGAGTTACACAGTAACATTTACTGCAGTAAAATGATCACTGTGGCCAAAGGCAGAGACAGAGTGGCCAAAGGAAGCTTCATGAGAGTGATGACTGTTCTCAGATCAGGGAGAGAATGGGATGGATGAAGATATGAGAGTTTCAGGTCACATGGGGTAGAAGGGTGCCCGTGACTGCCAACGCGGCTACAGTGAGACAGGAAGTGAAAAGCAGAAGGGAGGACATGCAGAGCCCGGGTAGCTAGGTTGAAATGTCTGGTTTTAAACCTAAGAGCAGCAAAAATCCATTTAAAAGGTTTTAGACAAGACTCTAACAGTGATTAGATTTAGGACCACCCCATAGTGACAGGACAGATATATTTTATTTTATTTATTTATTTAGTTTTGATTTTTTGAGACAGGGTTTCTCCGTAGCTTTTGGTTCCTATCCTGGAACTAGCTCTTGTAGACCAGGCTGGCCTGGAACTCACAGAGATCCACCTGCCTCTGCCTCCCAAGTGCTGGGGTTAAAGGTGTGCGCCACCACCGCCCGGTGGGCAGATACAAGCATCTGAAGCTGCTGTGGTCTGTAAGAAGTGAGAGGAATAGGTTGCAGGTAGTAAAAAGAGATTGGTAGATGAAGTTGAGAAATGTTTAGGGCTTTTTTTAAAAACTGTATTTCTTTACATGTGTTTGCAGCTGAGGGTATGTGCATGCCACGGTATGAATGCGGAGACTCAGGCTGTCAGACTTGGTAGCAAGCACCTTAACCACTGAACCATCCTGCTGGCTTTAGGTCTAACCTTTTAAGAAAATATTTTTATTTATTTATGTGTATGTTTGTATGACTATTTAAGTGTATCACATATGTGCTCCAGAATCCATGGAGGTCAGAAAATGGCACCTATAATTCCAGTAAAGGATGGCTGTGAGCCAATATGGGTGCTGGGAACTGAACCTGGTTCTCTCCAAGAGCACTTGATGTTCTTATCCTGAGTCTTCTCTCCAGTCCATCCTAAGCCTAATGTTTACACTTTCTAATAAACTGACAGTGAGCACACTGCTCAGGACTCACATATAGCCCAGGCTTTCTTGGAAGCTGTTATGTAGGTTAGGCTAGCCTTGAACGCCTGATCCTTTTGCCTCCATTCTTCCAAGAGCTGGGATTATAGGCATGTATAATTGCACCTAACATAGCTTGTTAAAGACAACTCAGTGTTTATCATGAATTCTATTTGGACATACTGAATTGGAATATATAAGCACTTTTTCTTTGCTATACCCATAGGCACACACAATGCTTGATCCACAACAGGCATATTATAAATATTTTTGTGAAAGTACTTAAGCTCCTAGCTACATGAGAATCAAACGGGATGTTCTCATGAGAGCCGGCTAGCTGCAGGTCCTGGTGGGGGGGTGTCCAGAGGGTCTTTCACCTGGAGCCTTTTTTTTTTTTTCAACACAGGGTTTCTCTAGTTTTGGAGTCTATTCTAGAACTCACTCTGTAGACCAGGCTGGCCTTGAACTCAGAGATCTGCCTGTCACTGCCTCCCAAGTGCTGGAATTAAAGGCATGCACCATCACCATCCAGCTTTGTGGAGCCTTTTCTACATGAAATGGTTCATTTTATATGACAACCTGGACAGGCTATGATGCCCACTTGTTGGTGGTGATGTGATTGTGGCTGCAGTAACACTTACAGTTAGTTCAGTGTACTTAGAGATGGCCCTTATGCTGGCAAGTCTTCTGTCAACTTGACACAAGTTAGAGTCATCTGAGAGGAGCGAGCCTCAGTTGAGAAAATGCCTCAATTATAATATTGGGCAAGCCTGAAGGGTATTTTCTTTTTTTTTTTTTAAGATGATTTATTTTTATTTTACGTGTATTGGTGTTTTACCTGCATGTGTGTGTGAGGGTGTTGGATCCCCTGGAACTGGAGCTACAGACAGTTGTGAACTGCTATGTGGGGGCTGGGAATTGAGTCTCTGGTAAAAGCAGTTAGTTCTCTCATCTGTTAAGCCATTACTCCAGCCCCAGGATATTTTCCTAACTAATGATTGATTTGGGAGGGCCAGGCCATTGCGGGTGGTGGCATCTCTGGGCAGGTGGGTCTGGGTTCTTGCCTTCCTCATGTTGAATACAGGGGAGGTGCTTCATCTTATAGCAGTATGTCATGCTCTGCTGATGCCTTTTTGAGCAAACACAGGAGGGGTAGACTGGGGGATGGTAGAGGGAAGGTGGGAGGAGGGAGTGGGAAGAGATGAGGGAGGGGAGGCTGCAGTGGGGACACAAAACAAACAAACTAATTAATTAATTAAAAAAAAAGAAAGCCAAGCAAGCCAGGGTGATCAAGCCAGTAAATATAATTTTATATGGCTTTTGCGTCAGTTACTACCTCCAGATTCCTGCCCTGAACTCCCTCAATGAAGGACTGTTACTCTGAACTGTAAGTATTAATTTCAATAAACCATAAACTCCTTCCTCTCCAAGTTGCTTTTGGTTTTATCATAGCAACAGAAATCCTAACTATGACAACTCTCAACACTGTGAGAGTCTCATTCAATTAAGTAAAGTCATTATGTGCAGAAACGGGATTCAAAAGAAGGAATTCTGCTTGAATACCTAGACACAGAATAGCCGAGTACGTGGAAGCAATAGAATCAGCTTAAAGTCACTCTAAGTTTTATAGTGAATTTAAGGCCAACCTAGGCTATATAAGCCTATCCAGAAAATAAAGAAATAAAAAACGTAACAAACCATGTAACATAGAGGGTATGTTTAGTTGTTGAGCACTTAACAGGTGTTAAGTCTTTGGTTTATATCCTGAGCACCCACAAGAAACATATTCAAGACTGTGACATAAAACTCCAAACTGATGCCAGGCTGTGGTGGCACATGTCTTTAATCCCAGCATTCAAGAGGCAGAGGCAGGTGGATCTCTGTGATTTCGAGGCCAGCCTGGTCTACAGAGTGAGTTTCAATACAGGCTCCAAAGTTATATAAGAAACAACAACCAAAAAAATCCAACCTGAGTTTTTAGCCTACTGTCCTGCCTTATAGACTGTGTGTGTGTGTGCATGCACACGTATGTATGTAACATGTGTTTGCAGGTGCATACGTGCATGTTTGAGTGTATGTGCCTGTACAAGTGTGTCAAGGTCGGAAGTCATTTGGGTGTTATTCTTCAGGCAACATCCACCTTTAAAATTTAAAAAATGACATTTACTTAGCAGCGAGCGAGAGAGCGTGTGAGAAAGAGCGAGTGCCACAGCACCTGTGTGGAGCCATGTGGACTGAACTTGAGTCCTTAGGGTTGTGTGGGAAGCACACATGTACAAAAACACCTTCCCCCTCCAGATCTCGCTTGCGGTTTCTGTGTCAGCCTCCACACACACCTGGGCCAATTCTGTAAACTAAACAGACCTATCCTCTACTGGCGAACCTTGACTGATACACAGTGGAATGAAATGAAAAGTAAAGCAGGTGAGACCATATGTCAGGGTCTCAGGGCTTGCCCGGCTGTAGATCTCCATGTGATCGAAGGCATTTCTGCCAGCTTCGGAGGCTCATTTTCCTACTAGAGATGACCAGGAAACAAAGAACTCCTTGAATGATGATGAGGGCCAACAAATGTTTTTCAACTCATTTCTCCTGTCATGTGCTCCCAAGAGCAAAAAAGTATGTGTGAGAATCTCGTCTATTACCTCTGACAGTGGATTTTATTTCTTCAATGGCAGCCTCACTTTGAGCGTGTGCGAGTTTCTCATTGATTTCCATTATTTCCACAAGGAACTGACTGTCTGTTCCATGGTCTGTCCCTTCAGGGATTTCTATTCCTTGGAGCTTTAGCTATTGGGGAGGAGAATAAGGAAAATGAAACAGATCAGGGTCATGTAAGTTTTGCTCACCCTTCAGAATACTCTGTTGGTCATATGGGAAAATGTGAATATTGGTTGGAGAGGGAGCTTAGAGCACAATGCATGCCAAGTAAGTCACATGTCCAGCCTGGAGAACCTGAGCCAAGAGTGCTGGTAAAGGACCTCACTTATCCTGTACCATCGGCAGCTGGGCCCTGGATATTCATACCTCTACCCAGGTCTCAAAATGTTTATAAACATTCTACTCAATACTAAAATTGCCTAGATGTTCTTGTAAAAAACTCCCCAAGTACTCTTACTATCATCAAATTTATAGAAAATAGTTAGAACAATAAAACCAGGGAAAGTTAAGATATACAAAAGGATCCAGGTCTGGTGCTTCATCTGCATCCCTAGGTACTCAGGAGGCTGAGGCAGGGAGATCACAGGTCAAGTCCAGCCTGGGCAGCTAAGTGAGACCCTGTTTTAAAAAGTAAAAAGGTGGCCGGGCGGTGGAGATGCACACCTTTAATTCCAGCACTTGGGAGGCAGAGGCAGGCGGATCTCTGTGAGTTTGAGGCCAGTCTGGTCTACAGAGCTAGTTCCAGGAAGAGGCGCCAAAGCTACAGAGAAACCCTGTCTCGAAAAACCAAAACAAAACCAACCCCCCCCCCAAAAAAAAACCAGAACAAAACAACAAGAACAAAAAAAAAAAAAGAAGAAGAAGAAGAAGAAAAAAAGAAGTCAAAAGGTACCTGGGGATACGGTTCAGTGGATGCTAAACCTAGCACCCATCCCCCAAATAAAACACAGAACCCAAAACCAAAGAAAAACCCAGTGATTATCAGACAGGGGCCATGGCTCAGTGGCAAAGAACTTATTTACTTAGCATGAGGCACTAGGTTTAATACTGAAGAAAAAAAGGAGTTGGATGTGGGTGACGTGAAGCAAGAGAATTACAAAAGAAACAAAAACAAGGAAAATGGATTTGCAAAGAATATTATGAAAACTATACTTGTATAGAATCTTTTTCTTTCTCTTTTCTTCTGTAGTATTTTTTGAGGCTAAACATCACTAGCTTCCTGGACTAGGCCAGGTCTCATACAGATGGGCTGGGAAATACCTTACAAGGTATAGTCCCCTGCTCAGGGGAGCCCAGGTCTCATACAGAGGGAGTCACATACAGATGGGCTGGGAAATACCTTACAAGGTATAGTCCCCTGCTCAGGGGAGCCCAGGTCTCATACAGAGGGGCTAGGAAATACCTTACAAGGTATAGTCCCCTGCTCAGGGGAGCCCAGGTCTCATACAGAGGGAGTCACATACAGATGGGCTGGGAAATACCTTACAAGGTATAGTCCCCTGCTCAGGGGAGCCTGAAGAGTCTTATAGGCATCATTCAGTAGGGCCGAATGCTTCTCTGAGAGGTGTTTTTCAGTCTGTTCATAGAGATAAAAAAAGAATTTTATTACCACAGGGGCCAGTTCTTTTTGATTCCCAAACTCTTATAATAAGACAGTGATTGAAGGACTACGGCTAGAATTAGAACTGGTGTTAGATGAGTAGTCCGTATTTTCTTTTTTTTTAAAATTTATTTACTGGGGGCTGGAGAGATGGCTCGGAGGTTAAGGACACTGACTGTTCTTCCAGAGGTCCTGAGTTCAATTCCCAGCAACCACATGGTGGCTCACAGCCTTCTAAAATGAGATCTGGTGCCCTCTTCTGGCATGCAGACATACATGGAGGCAGAACACTGTATTGTATACATAGTAAATAAAGTCTTAAAAAAAAAACCATTAAAAAAAATTTATTTACTGATTTGTGTGTACGTGTGTCCTTAAATGTCAGAGAAGGATATATTGGCTATATCTCCTGGAACTGGAGCCACAAATGGTTGTGAGCATCATGTAGGTACTGGGAATCGAAGTTGGGTCCTCTGGAACAGCACCCAATGCCTGTAACCACTAAACCATCTCTGCAGGCCCCCTTTCTGACTTTATTATTATTACTATTACTATTTTATGTACATTGGGTTTTGCCCGCATGTATGTGTAGGAATGCCAGATCCCTGAAACTGGAGTTACAGACAGTTGTGAACTGCCATGTGGGTGCTGGGAATTGAACGTGGGTCCTTTGGAAGAACAGTCAGTGCTCTAAACTGCTGAGCCATCTCTCCAGTCCCCAGTATAGTCTGTATTTTCAAGGATGGGTTTCCAGTTATCAGAAAAGTCAGATAAAAGCTGTGAAGAAATGACATCTCTGGGGGTTGGCTATCAAAGGTTTCCCAGATCAAAACAGCCACCCACCCAGTTGCACACATATATGGGGACTATTAAGGGGGATCAGTGAATACCTGAGACTTTTGGCTGAAGAAATCTGGATGGATGAGACATTGTAGTTGATGGTACCTGTGCTTAAGTTTCACGATGTCAACCTTGAAGGATCGGTGACTGGAAGGAAACCAGATGTTACGCATGCAACAGTACTCAAGTTATTTACTATGGTCTGGTTCTGCTTGTGGGGAAGATGTAATAACATAAAACAAAGGTTATTTTTAAGATGCAGCCATAACGAAGGAAAATAGAACAGGATCAGAATAGGTAATGTATGTATGACATTTGAGAGATGTGAATGGTGCTACTACTGAATGATCAAAGATCAGAAAGGGACATGAGTACAGAGACCCTGAACTGAAGGGAAGATTAAAACCTTGACAAATTAGGGGCTAAGGTTAGTGTGGCCCATTGTAAGCACTCAGTGTCTGATGAAAATGTGTTCCCGAGTGTGGAGTCCTTGCCCAACCTGTATGTTCTTTGATTCCTTTCCCTGTCTAGATGTCTTTTTACTTTTTATTTTGAGACAGAGTCTCTCCTCCCCCTGCCCCCCATAGGACAACCCATTCCTGGATGTCCTGAAACTTGCTTTGTAGACCAGGCTGGGTTTGAACTCACTGCAATTCACATGCTTCTGTCTCCTCCCAAGTGCTGGGATTAAAGGCCTGAACCACCATCATCTGGTTAGACAGTCTCTTAACTAAGGTAACCAAGTAGATTTTGAAGTCACTCTATGGTCCAGGCAGGCTTTGACTTTAGTCTCCCTGATCACTGGGATTGCAGATCTGTCACCAGGCCTAGAGCCTTGGCATTAAAAAAAAGTGTGTGTGAGAGAGAAAAGGTTAGCGTCAAACTTGCTATAATAACCAAGAATGAGACCTACAACTCTGGATCTTCCTACCTTCTCCCTGCAAATGCAAGGATTATAAGATTTATGACAATAAACCCAGTTTACCAGCTTAACTTAAAAACAAAAAGGTTGAGTTGGGTGTTGCTAAATTGTTCAGTGCTGCAATTTTTTTTGATCCTTCCTTAGTTTTCTGAGCAGTTAGAATTATAGGTAGACTATCACACTGAACCATTAATACCTAGAAGCAAGTTTTTTTTTTTTTTTATGATAGTACTGGGATTCGAACCCAGCCTCCTGGTATTGCAAAGGAAGTGTTATACATTGAGCCAAAGCACCCACTTATTTCTTTTTTGGGGAGTGGTGGCATTGGGGGAGTCAGACTGTAGGATCCTCTTGCTTTTGGCTAGAGGGCAGGACCACGGGTGTGCACAACCACACCTTGCTCTACATTTTACTTTAATCTTTATTAGTTCAGCTCTGCTCACACTTCTGCACCAATCTCCAGAAGGCGGCGGCGGGGGGGGGGGGGGGGGGGGGGGGGGGGGGGGGGGGGGGGAGACCACAAACATTTCTTGGCCTCTCTCTCTCAATCTTGAGCCTGAATTAAAATTTTGGTTTTTTGAGACAGGGTTCCAAGTTGCAACCCTTCTTCTTCATCCCTGAATACTGGGATTCCAGACATATGCCACCACACTTCATTTATTTTTGATACAGAATTTCTTTGTATAGCTGTGGCTGTACGGGAACTCACTCTGTAGACCAGACTGCCTTGAACTCACAGAGATCTGCCTACCTCTCCCTCCTGATTGCTGGGATTAAAGGTGTGTTCCACCACCCGCCACTGACCAGCAGTTTGTTTTATTAATTGCTTTTGATTTTTGAGACTTAGTCTTATGTAGCCCTGACTCTCAAATTTGCTACATAGCTCAGGTTGCCTCAGATTTGCAACCCTCCTGCACCCCCGAGTGCTGCGCTCAGTCATGCACCAACACACCTGGCTTCTTTGGGTTTTATTTTCTCCTTTAAAATACTTATTTGAGATGAGATGTTCCCTAATTTTGTGGTTGGATTCCAACTGGGAATCTTTCTACCTCAGTCTAGCATGCATGTAATCCCAGCAGTGGGGGAGTAGGAGGCAGGTGGATGTTGTGAGCTCCAGGCCAGGCAGAACTAATGGCTAAAGGTTTTGTTTTTGTTTTTTTTCTCCCTGAGACAGCTTTTCTCTATAGCATCGGAGCCTGTACTGGAACTAACTCAGAAAGATCCATAAAGGCGTGCACCACCACTGGGCAGCCAAGGCTGTTTTTTTTTTTTTTTAAACAAAACCCCCCAAACTCTCCTTTCTGCTCCCTAGAGTTCAGCCTCTGTCTGTACTTCCTTTTTTCCAGGAGTCTCGCTGTAATGGTCTGTCTGTCCTGTCCCTTAAGAGAGAAGCCCCCTCGTGATCTAGGGACAGCCCCTGCATTATTTCTGCCACTGCACTCCTCGGGAAACCTGCAGCTTTTTACTTAAACCATAACACCCGCCCCTCAAACGTCCCTATAATGTAAACTTGTGCCTGTTCCCCTTTGTTGTTGCTGCTGGTGTTTAAAAACAGTACCTTGGCAGCAAAGGCTAGTCCTGAATTCCTGACCCACCGGCCCCCACTTCCCGAGTTCTGCCAGGGGTCCTGGGGACCCGCAGCAAATCTATATACTTATCCATTTTTTTCTTATTTTGAATCAGTCTCGGTAAATTGCCTAAACTGGCCTGGAACTGTGGTCCTCTTGCCGCAGTCTCCCAGCTGGCTGGAAAAGAAATTATAAATCCGCCGGCGCTGACCCAAATCTTGGTCACTAGGGTAACGCCTGTCTAATTTTACTAACTCGGCCAACCGAACTTCCCAAGGCCGGCTCGCCCTCCCAGCACCCCGCGCCGCTCGTACCAATTCAGGAGGCTGAAGTAGTCCTGAGTCGGGTCAGGAGGCTGCAACGCGCAGCAGTGTTCGCAGAAGAACCCATCCCCACTCTCCACACTCCCTGCGCTGCCGCAATTCCAGCACTGCCGCGCCTTGCTCTTCCCCGAGGCAGCATTGGTGCTCAGCAAGCTCCTACCCAGGAACCCAGCAAGCCGCACCTCCCACACGCAAAGCAAAGCCCGAGCACCAGAGCTCCACATTCGGACAGCGGCCTATCTGGCCTGGGTCTTCGCACCCGAGGGGAAGGAAGAAAAAGTGACTCGTTGCTGATTGGTTAGGGAGCCGAGGAGGCGGGATCAGTCTCGAGAAACAAGGCTACCGAGTTCCGTTCTGCATTCTAAACTACAATTCCCACTAAGCCTTGAGGCTACGTGTTGCAACCGATTTGTGTCTTCTTATTGGGCCTGCCGAGGAGGAAAACGTTTTGATTGGCTGAGGGTGGAGTTTGTATGGAAGGTTTAGCGCCACACCACTGGTTGCGGCTTTGGGGTGTTTGTGACTCCGGGTGTTCTTTCGCGGTGAGTCTTAGCGGGAAATTTTTCTTGAGTGTTTGAAGATTCCGATCGGGTTCTCAGGGTCTTATGCAAAGGAACCCTCCGCAGCTTCCGCTTTATCTGCCTAGTTTTGTGTGCGAGGAGGCGCTGTGCGCAGGCAGCTCTTCCTTTTTTAGTTGCTCTTCGAGGAGAAATTCTTTTTTCCATGTTACAAGCTGAAACAGGTCTGGACACATGGGAAGGCACAGAGTAGCAGAGCAAAGTAGTTTCGTAGTGAGTATTATAAATGTTACTGATCATACCAGGCCCTTGATTCATTCTTTCGAAACAGTTACTGAGACTTCAGTCTTCGCTGCTAGGCTCTGCAGAAACTGGAGAGGGTAAGCAAGTTTGTGGGGTAGGGTGGTAAGGAGGCAACCAGCCATTCTCAGCTTCTGTACACAAAGGAAAGGCCACTTATACACATAAAGCTGTGTAAGTGGCCGATAAACTATTCATAATTCTGGAATTTTGCTGTGATTTGGGTTTTTTTTTTTCCCGCTCATAAACGGCCCTGCCTTTCTGAGCTAGGTGGTCATAATATGCCTGTTCCTTTAAAAAAAATTTTATTTTTTCAAGTCATGTTTGTTAAGTCCGTGCAGTGCGCACGGAGGCCAGCAGAGGGCATTGTATTCCAAGAGCCGGAATTACAGGTGTTTGTGCGTTCCTGGATGTGGGTGCTGGGGTGTCTCTCCAGCCCCTTCATATACCCATTCTTCATTTTGTATGTTTGGTGTAACTGGGCGTGGAATCCAGGACTTTGCATCCGTTAGACAAATGATCTACCATTGAGTTATATCCATGTTCACTTATCTTTGGGTAGAGATTTATTTTATTTTAATTGTTATGTGTGTGGGAGTGTGCACATGTGATTGCAGAGGCTGAGAGCAGGCTTCAGACCACTGGAGTTGGAGTTCCAGGCAATCTTGAGCTGTGCTGGGAACAAGAATAGTGTGTGTTTTCCTGCTGAGTCATCCCTCCAGCTTCCAATCTCCAGTCTTGAATTTTAAGCCTTGTTCCTCGGCTCTCACTTACTGTTGGACTCTTGTTTTTGAGGTCGGATATGAAGAATCAACAGTTCCCCAGCAGCACTTCCTCAAAGGCCCATGGTGGTGGTGCCTGTTCCCAGTCCCAAGGTGGCACTTTCTCTCCATTGCACGATCTCTCCTCACAGTCTCCAGGCACATCCAGTTCCTCCACCAGCACAGTGCCATCTTCCAGCCAGTCCTCACATTCCAGCTCTGGGACGCTGAGCTCTTTAGAGACAGTGTCCACTCAGGAACTCTGTTCTATTCCTGAGGACCAAGAACCTGAGGATCCTGGTCCTGTCCCTTGGGCTCGGTTATGGTCTCTTCAGGATGGATTCTCCAATCTAGGTAAGGCATTTTGGTATATAGTGGAGTGTATTGTTCAGAGAAACAGAGGTGATGGTTAGGCTGTTGCAACTGAAATCTCAGGGCCCTGTGACTGGCTAGAGGTGAGAAAAAGTTTAAAAAGTAAAAATTAAAAAAGAAAAAAAGGCTGTGCTGGCATGTGTGGGCTGTCATTGCCTGTCGTGGGCTCGTTTCATTACTTCTGGTCCTCATGCCAAGGCTTGTCTTATAGGACACCCTTTGGACAATTTTACATCATGCCTGCCTCCCAGACTGCGCACATGTTCCCTATTCTGAAGCCTAGCTAATGCCTAAAAGACAATGTTCTGTTTCCACCCAGTCCTTTCGATTCCTCTTCACTTAGCAGATTCTCCTTGAGATTTTAGGAACCCGCTGCAAACGTTCCTTCCCTATGAAGCTGTTCAGTTTCTTCTCCTTTGGACTCTAACGAATGCTTTCCACCCCTGAACTGTGTTGCATTTTAATTTTCTGTTTCTCATGTTTCTTCTCAACTCAGTGGTAAATTACCTGAAACCAAACTCCATTCATATTAATCCCACTTCCCAGTCCTTGGCATCTAATAGATGAACCCCAGTTTTCCATTGCTACGGTCTTGGCACAGTTAGCCTCCTATGGCAGATGAGGAAATTGTGTGTCCTTCATGGTTACCAACACGAGACCCTTTGAGTGCTAGAGAGCCTACACTGAGCTACATCTGTTGTCCTATCCCTAGCTACCTTATTTTTATTTTCAAATAGAATCTTGCTAAGTTTCATAGACTGGCCTCCTTTTTCTTTTTCTTTTTTTTCAGAGAAAAGTTCTCATGTAGCCTGGGTTGACCTGAACTCACTATGGCACTGAGCCTGGCTTTGAACTCTTGATCTTCCTGCCTCTACTTTCCTTTTTGTTTTTTTTTTTTTTTAAATTTTTATTTATTTATTATGTATAGTGTTCTGCCTGTACGTAGACGTGCAGGCCACAAGAGGGCACCAGATCTCTTACATGGTTGTGAGCCACCATATGCTTGCTGGGTATTGGACTCAGGACCTCTGGAAGAGCAGCCAGTGCTCTTAACCACTGAACCAACTCTCCAGTCCCCTGCCTCTACTTTCCAAGTGTTGACATTATAGGCATACTTCACTTTCACTAGGCTCTACTCATTTGTATTTTATTGTGGGTTTTTTTTTTTTTGTTTGTTTGGTTTTTTTTTTGAGATAGGATTTCTCTGTAGCTTTGGAGCCTGTCCTGGAACTAGTTCTTGTAGCCCAGGCTGGCCTTGAACTTACAAAGATCCACTGCCTGTGCCTCCCAAGTGTTGGGATAAAGGTGTGCGCCACCATCCCTTGGCTACTCATTTGTTTTTGAGACAAATTCTGCTGCCCAGGTAGGCTCGCAATTCACTGTGTAGTTCCTCATGGCCTTGAGTTTGCATTAATTTCCTTTTAGCCTACTGAGTAGCTGGAATTACACATACCAGCCATACCTGGTTCAAATTTACACATTTGTTTGTGGATATCCAGAACTATTTCTGAAAGATGTTTGTGTTATTCAGTGTTCTCTAGAGGAACATAGGTGAAAAAATGAATATATATAATCTATTTATATTTAATTACTTGTCATTATTATTAGAGTGGCTTACAGACTGTGGTTCAGCTAGTCCAACAATGGTTGCCCATGGGAGGTCAGTCTGTGAGGCTGGATGTCTCAGCTGGTTGTCAGTGCACACCAGGGTCCTGTTGGAGCTTTAGTGCCAGCGAGGGAAGGGACTTGCTAGTCAGAGTGAGAACAAGCTTCCTTCTTCCATGTCCTGTAGCTGTTGGCAGAAGATATGGTTTGGGGTAAAGGTAGATCTTACCACCTCAAAAGATCTACATTAGCCAGGCATTGGTGCTGCTGGGAAGCAGTGGCAGGCAGAGCTCTGAGTTTGAGGCCAATTTGGTTTTCTAGATTGAGTACCAAGATAGCCAGGGCTACACAGAAAAATACTGTCTTGAAAAACGAAAACCACACCCCCATCCTGACCAGAAAAAAAAATTAAAAGGGGATTTATTAATTTGGCTTATACAATATGGCCTGGATAGTCCATTAATAGTTCTCTTCATGCTGGGCGGTGATGGTGCACACCTTTAATCCTAGTGTTTGGGAGGCAGAGGCAGGTGGATCTCTTTGAATTCGAGGCCAGCCTGGTTTACAAGAGTTCCAGGACAGGCTCCAAAGCTACAGAGAAACCCTGTCTTGAAAAACAAAAACAACAACAACAAAAATAGTTCTCTTCATGTTACAGAGACTGAGAGCTTAGTAGCTGCTCAGTTTGCAAGCCTGGATTTCTCAGCAGTTCTAGTTTGGTATTGACAGCTTGGAGGATTCCTAGAGAACTGGAGGTCAAAGAAGCAGCAAAGGTTGGCAGCAGAAATAATGGGATAGATGCACTTAGTAGCAAGAAAGCAAGCAACACTGTTTCCCCCTTCTTTTTCTTTTTTTTCTTTTTTTTTTCTTGCTTTTTTGAGATAGGGTTTCTTCTCTGTGTCTGCCTGGAACTCATAGAGATCTTCCTGCCTCTGCCTCCTCAGTGCTGGGATTATAGTTGTTTCAGTATACCCAGCAAGAATGAACGTTAATAGCCATATTATCTTTAATCTATGACTGTGTGGCATCTTCCCAGAGTTTAGTCTGAATTTAGTCTAGCTTCTTTGTACAATGTTTTATACATTTCAGTATACAAGTCTTACTCTCTTTTTTGTTTTATGAAACCTAGGCTGACCTGAAACTTGCTTTGTGTGTTAGGCTGGCCATTAATCTCAACCTCGTGCCTCTACTGTAGTAATAAGGGCGACAGGGCTGTGTCCCCAGCACCCCAGCTGCCCGCTCGGCTAGCTTATGCCCCGAAATAACAACACACAAACTGTATTCATTTAAACACTGCTTGGCCCATTCTCTTCTAGGCTAATTCTCACATATTAATTTAGCCCATTTCTAATCATCTGTAGCACCGGTCTTACCGGGAAGATTCTAGCCTATGTCCATCCTGGGTCGGAGCTTCATAGCGTGCGTCTGCCCAGGAGCCAGGAGCATGGCGTCTCTCTCAGGCCTCTGCTCCCAAGAGGAGAGCTGTTGAGACTCTGACGTCACTTCCTCTTCCTCCCAGCATTCTGTTCTGTCTACTCCTCCCACCTATCCTCTAACCAATAAAATGGGCCAAGGCAGTTCCTTTATTAGCCAATGACCTTCCTCCATCACTCTACCTCACAAGTGATAGAATTACCACTATGCCTGACTTTGGCTTTTTGGAGACAGAGCCTTAGTCTATAGCCTATCCTAGCTTGGAACTC